CTAAGAACACGCAAGGAGAAGAAATCAAGTAATACTCCGTAGCACAAATAGCTATCACAAGACTATATCATGAATTGGATGAATCAACAATGAAAGACACAAAGTCTGAAGAAATATCGCCTATGATGGGACAATCAAGGGAAGTGGCTGTCTTCCCGATGTTTCAATCCCGAAATTATCAGGCCATTATTTAGCAGAGAGATATGAGAATTTTCAACTGGCTATAAAGCCCCACTTTCAAAAATTCCTCGTTACTTCATTAATAGAAAAAGAACAGCTCATAAAGTAAAATAATTGGTAGACATTAAACTTATTAAATATCACCGATGCATGGGACTGTATGATATTCGACCAAATCACTGGGCAACTCGATCATCAAACAAGATCGTATTGGGAATGATCACTAGGCAACTCTATTTCTTACCTAAAGTTTGAGCAACTTAAGGCATTTTTAATGTCACAAGTAAGGACTCTAGAAAACATAGAGGAAACCAAAGATTCAAAACGTCCAGTCCAGTCTCATTCCACGAAGAAAGAGATCGGAGGTCGATTAGTCGTCCATAAAGACTGATTTAAAGGGCTTTCAAGAAGGCAAACGGCACAACAAAACATGCAGATGTTATCACGATAAACATTTGTAGACTGCATGCCTAACATTTAAGGAAATTCCAATAGCCAAAAAATGAGATTTAATAAATAAAAACACTTGTACTATAACTGCTTGGGAACCTACCCCTTGTATACTTGCAGAAGCAAACAGATCTGCATGAAGTCTGATAAGCAGCAGAATACACTACCACACAATGAACAGTAATCATTTGTCAATCCACCTAGATCACTATCATTGAGAACCTTGTTATCTACGGCCTTGGCTAAAATACGTTCATCATCGACAACACTACAAGCCCGTCTTCTAATCGATCCAGGCTCTGAAATCACGTTCGCAACAGAGAATCACGTGAAGAAGCTCGACATACTTCGTCAACGTTTCGTTACCCTCATCCAGGGAATGGGAGGATTTCTATCAACTCAGGCTCAAGGTACTATATCACTTACCCATCAGTTACAATTCTAACTCACATCCTCAAGTCATTGACCACATTGCTTCCGTCCTACAAAACATCACGACATGCATAGCCGCACCTAAGAAACCTAACACTAGATAAAACTATAAAATTATAGATAAAACATATAACAATTCCATTATATTCAATATTAGAAAAAATCATATTTCAAAAATCAAAATTCATAATTCATTTTAATATTAGTGAAGGGTTACCCACTCATGCATCAGATCAAAAATATTCTGTTTGAATATGATAGTATGACATTCCCACAAATGTAAACATAATTGTTGGATACTTTCTATTGCTATTTATTTTTCCATTTTCATCAACAATAAAGCTATTATTATTCTTGTATTTTAAAAATATTTTGTTGAGAATAACTTTTTCTTAAATTTAAAATTTAAAATTGAGTATTTTATATAAATACTTAAAATAAGATTTTAAATATAAATTTTAAGTATTTTAGTATTTTCTCCATTCGTATATATATTGTATAACATTATTAATTATGTGCTTATTTATAAAATAAATATATTTTGATATTCAGAATTGCGAATTGAAATAAATAAATCAAATTAAATTTGCATAATGAAAAAACCTAAATGATATATAAAATATTTATCAATTTATTTTTTATTTTATTTTAATACATTATTGATGTATTGAAATTATACGATGAAAAGGTGTGTCCTATGTTCAATCACGGAGGTGCCGTTGCTTGGACCTGTTCCTATGGTCGATGGTTTATCTACCCGAGATGGTCCTTGATGTTGAGGTTGTAAAGATCAACAACTGATTATACATACTCCTTATTAGTGAGTGTGATTTGTGCCATTAATAATAGCGTCATGTTAGTCTTATAAGGACTAGCAATAATTAAGCACAGGCATTGTTTACTTGCAGTGATGCAGTAGCCTTGGTCTCATCCTGTAATGAGTAGTTTATCATTACGAATGCTCCTTGTTAATGGTGATAATTTGTTGCTGATTTTGCAACGATCAGCAATGATTATACATGCTCTTGATCAGGGATTACATCGTGACGTCTGGTGTTTTCTTGATGTAAATGAGATAGTATCAATACCTTTTAATTGCAGCATAAAAGAATTGCTGCGTCTATCTTCTTTCTACCTTCTACCTTCTATCGTGGTCAGTAGCTTGCTGGTCGACTAGTCATCCAGCTGCTTTATGCCTCCAGCTACTATTCCTTCTGCTTGTTCTAAATAGCGACGCGGCAGTAACAAGTGTAACAAAAAAGGGCGGACAATAGAGTTAGAAACAGTGGGTGCAATTGTAATGCGAGAAACAATGGAGGTGATTGTGCACTTGTATAATTTCGGATGTACCGGCTTTTCCGAACCTCCAACGACCATTAGAGAATTTTCTTAGATGTTATGACCGTTGAATCATTTCTTTGGGATTTTTCTCCAAATGACAGCCGTTGGGGTATTCCGCGAAATGTTAATATTATGGTAATGATAATATAATCTGAACATACACTCTCTCAACAGAGCCACTACGGAAGGTACACTCAATAGTTTCATACAACTACTCAACGTCAAACCTCATACATAGTGCCCAAGAGTACGAAGCTGTTGCAGGCCTTTCTCATTCAGTGCGAAAGCACACTTTCTCAAGGATTCAGTGCCAACATACACTTGTTCATATTCAGTGCCAACGCACACTTGCTCATATTCAGTGACAAATCACAGTTTCTCAAGGAATCAGAACCAATGTGCACTTAGTCATATTCAGTGCCAACACACACTTTTTCAGGGCTCTTTCATACTCTGCACCAACGGCACTCTCTCAAGTGGCCGCTTCTACAAGTCAGAGCAAGCAACACCATTCGACGCCACATGAAGGTTTTGAATCATTTTCTCACCCTTCCATACCACAATCCATCTTGGAGATCAGCAATCAAATCACCATCACGTGGCACAACATGAAGAAGTGCAAAGAGATTTATGACCTCTCACTACTCAGTATAGTACTTCACCACCAAGCGCACTGCAACTAGAGGATCCGGAGATTTACGACCTCCTACCTCTACAAGTAGTGCATGCTGACACCACGTGGTAACAACCCAGGAACGGTAAGATCTCAGCGATTCTCATCATCAACGTAGAATTATTATACTGTAGTTGTAAAATAAATGAAATAAGAACCACGAAAAGCAGATGTGTTAAATACTGAAATGAAGCGCTATCCCTTTCACTTACCCACACTTTTCTTCCACCAGAAAACTGGTGGCAATAGTCTAATTCTAAAGGACGTTTTCCGAAATATACGTGGTGGTAGTTAAATACTTAAATTTAAATTTAATTTTCGAATAAGTTATTAACTCAATATCGAATGAGGATATATAACTATTTTGATTGTATACAAAAACAATATTATGAATATAATAAAAAATTTAATATAACAATGAATAATACAAGAAAAAAGGAACTATATAAAAAACTAGTTTATTACTGTATTATTTAAGACTCAATTTAGTCATCAATTTAATAAATTACATTAGCTGATATTCTATTAATGTATTAAGTATATTTTAATGATCTTTGATCAATTTAAATAATTAGATTTGTTATAGTTGTTATTATTATATTGAATTTCATGTATATCTCAGTCTCTTTATTAATTGTAATTTTATATAATTTTAATAAGTTTTTATTATTATCATTTTATTACTATAGTTCAAATTAAATATTACAAGACATTGTGATAATTCTCTATTAATAGATAGAAAAATTGTTATCTTTTAATGTGAATATTATTAGTTAATATCAATCATTAACTATGTAAAATAATAGAAAAACTAACGATGTTGTTTGGTAGACCTATGAATAACATTATTATTTATCATTTCATCTGATGTATATAGCGTACTTTTAGATAATAAAATATATTATTTTAAATCATTATTATTGTTTGGAATTCCAGTCACGCAGTAGTCAAAAGATCAAGATAACCACCATATTACTGGTGGAACAGTGTGAATAAGTGAGAGGTTAATACTTCAATTCAGTAATCAATATAATTGATTTTGTGCTAATTATTGAATTTTGATTTCCAAACACACAATTATGATTCTACATTGGTGTTGAGTATCGTTAAGACATTCAAAACGACGTTGCAATGCGGAAACTAGATAAACATTACAGGGCGTTCGCAATCAAAGGCTTTAAAATGATCGAGAAATTTCGAATTCAATGTTTATGATTTCGCGAGCTGGAACGATTATAAATTTTGGAGAATTAATTTTCTTGGAAAGCGCTCCAATCCTCAATAATTATTAATTAACTTATTTATTTATCTTCAAATTTTGAGATTTCATTTGTCAGATATAAATTTATGGTTTTTTTATGCTTCCTTTACATAGGTATAATTATAATTATAATTATTTTATCATAGAATTTTAGCATTTCAAAAATTAGTTTTGGTTTTTAATAAAATAATGTAACTATTATATATATTTATGCATTATGCTTACCTATTGATATAATATAAAATTATAATGAAATAAGATTTAATAATTTAGATTATTTCAGATTAGATGCAGGAATAGTTTAATTTTCAGAAGTATTTAATTTGTAATGAAAATATATTTATCATATGCATTATCCAACTTTACATGATATTTATTGATTTTGTTTTTAATTTTATGAAATGTTTGTTTATTATATGCTTGTTATATTTTCAAATTCAAATAGAAAATGATGATCAGATATTGATAAAATATAATAAACTTAAATTAATCATTTGCTAATTTTCAATTAGCTATTAAATCTTTTTAATTTATGTATGTTAGGATGTATGAAATTTATAATATTAATTAAAAATCAAACTTATTAATAATTGGACGATAAATCAAACAAATATTTAAATTCTAAATTTACTATTTATAATATTTGTTGATATAATTACTTACCTTTGTATGGGAATTACATATATCTTGCACATGTTCTAATTTTGTAAGAAAATGATCTTGGAACATAAATTTCATTGGTGATATTTCAGGTACAGGCAACTTAATTTTGTTAAGGCATTGATTTATAATTTTGTAAACACGTAACAATAATGAATCGTAAACTTTATCTTCGGGAAAATTGATACAAAATCGATACAATAATTGTAATCCATTTTCAGAATTTATAGATTTTCTACCAGTTTCTGTAACCAATCAAAGAAATATATTTTACTAATATATATGTATTACGGTTGAAAACATTTATTATTCAGATTAAGGTTATAAATATTAGATTTAATTAATTTATTGATATATCTAATAAAATAATAGTTTTTAATATAAATGTATGAATTTTATTAATTTTATGCAACATGTTTCTTCCAGAAAAAATAAGATTATATAACCTATATTATATAAATGGCTGAATAAATTGGTATCGATTTGGCCATCAAATATATTGTTGGAAAATTTAATAAAAAAAAAAATAAAAAATACTGATAGAACATTAAAATTTTTTATGAAACATATCGATTATATAACAAATATTGTTTCATGAAATATTTTAATTATAATATGTGCATATAAAGAATTATTACTACAAATTTTTAGAAATATTTGTAAGTTTAATACAATAATAATGTTAATCGAGTATTAGTATTAAATGGTTTTATTATAAATTTAATCATATATAATATTAATTGTCATGTTTAGGAGTATTTTGTAAACATTTTAAAAACATTACTCTTTTGTTTATAAAAGTATTTTATGTATACACTTGAAAGGTTAAAATCTATCGTGTTAAAAAATAATCTCGTTACAACAAACATCGCTTTTCAGTATATTCCACGTGGTTTTAGTCAGACTTTAAATAACATTAGTTTTCATAAATATTTGAACAACTACTTAATTATTTTCCGAATATAAGTCAGATTCGGACACTATTTTACAACTCAAGAAGACACATATTTGTATTAAATTTAACTATGTACATTTATACATTTATAAGTTTTGATAAACTGTATTCTCTTAATTTTGTTTTTGTCCGAAATTTCTCTCAATAATATTGAACCCATTGTCTTGCTATGCAATTTGCTAAGAACTTTTAACAATTTTCAATAAACATATATTTAAATATGCAAAACATGTTTATTTTCTTCCTATAGTTAACGCTGATAATTAAATATTATTTTTTTTATATATCCATTATAAGTTTAAAACTTTTTAAAATTTCTCTTTCTATTTAATTGGCTATTATATTCGTAGAAAAGTCAGCATTTTGAGATAGCCTACGAAAGACTTTTCCATTTTCGTTAAATAGGAATGTTTCATTTTAATACAACACTAAAAAAAAAATTAGGAAATAGTATATCTATTAATTTTCTAAATCTTATGCTTTATATTTTTTATAATTGAATAGAAATAATCACTTGCACAAAGATAATTCTGTATTTTAGTTTCAGAAGAAAATCATTGATAAAATATAATTTACAAAATGTTATAAATTAAATGAACTGAACTGTACAACTGTAAAATAATATAATGATAGCCATGAAATCGATTTGATAGATTATAGTAGTATGATATAATTATGATTATATGTATTCCACACTGATAAATAATAAACTTACTGTATTGCAACTTTTTCAATATATTACGTATTTTTCTTATAAAATATCGTACTTTTACAAACACAAATTAGTATATTGAAAAATGTAATACATTCTAAAATAAAATTTATAAATTTCACCTTGTTTAATAAGATGTTGTATGGTAATAATAACATTTTTACTTAATTTTAAATGTAATTGACTATTCAATCCCTTCCAATTGGTAAATATTTTCAGTATTTCTTGTACTATGCCAGCTTTCACTAATATTGTACAACATATTTCTAGAAGTAATAAAAACTGAAATTAATTAGAGTACTTAAAAATTCATGAACAGTTTTGATTATTAATTGAAATACTGTATATATAAAATATCAAATTTATAAAATATTTTATATATACAATATCGAATATATAAAATATTGTATGTAATATATTTTGTTTCAAAGAAAAAACTTTATCCTGTAATTAGAATATTGAGTAATAATTGTAGTATCGAATATGACAAAGCTTTATACATATTTTTTCTTTTATTAAGTCTGAAAATAAATGATCATGTTTGTATTGAAAATAAAAATTAGAATATGTACATATATGTTTAATCTATATCTTCATATTTATAAAATATTTTAATAGTTTTATTTATATGCCATACCATTTTTCGTCAAATATTTTATTATTGTTAGACTAGGAAATAATATTTTATTTTTATTATAATACAATTTCAAAATACTAAGAAACATTTCTGTTGCATTCAAAGATTTTACTTCAGTAGTAAAATTTTTATCTTTTGCCACAATCTGTAAATTTATAACAGTGATGTTAAAATAATATTTGTTATAATTTATTAAAAATTGTAAAATTCCGTATTATAATTACCTTGCTTAAAATCCATATAGTCTCATATACTGTTTGCATCACTAATTTATTTTCTACGTATTGTATATTCATCAGAACTGTAAGTAATATTTTAATAATATTAAATTTAATAAATTTTGCCATGACCACATTATTATTTTGTTCTGTGAAAAATAATATATTATTTACTAAAGAGTATGTATATTTAATTTATTGTGTCTACATTTTAAATTATTTACTTTTTAAGTTTTCAATTTCCTTTCTATTGTATAATGAATTAGTTTGTATAAATTTGAAGGAAATGCACTCTCGAAGTATAGAAATAAGTTTATATCTGGTGATATCTTCATAATTCTATAAGAAAATAATAAATCTTAATATGAAGTCTAATAAAATGGTTTCGAAATTAACTGAAAGAATATTTACTTAATTATATTAATAATTATTTCAGATAAAATGGTTTATAACATAGTATTGTAAAATAAAATATTATTATTTTCTCATTATATTTATTATATTTTAGTACAATTTATACATTTGCATTTAGTGTCTTTATATATGTGAATATATACTATTTATTGTATTTAAGGATATATAAATTATACAATAATCACATATATAATTTTAGAAGCAAACAATATAATTATAGGTAAATTGTTATTTTGGAATACTTACAAACTTTTACTAATTTAAAACCATAAATCAGATAAAGACAAGATAAATTTACTCAAAAATAAACAAAATAATATCTTGCAATGTGTAGATGATTTATCTCGACCTTGGACCTGTGTACTTTAAATGTTGAATATTTACTCATTTTTTCAAATTTGATTTATGTAAATTTTTTCTATATTGTTTTAGTTTTGTCTGGGTAAAGAATAATTTTAACAGATATAAATTGCAAAGCTAAAAATATAAATTAGAATTCAACTTTAAATGAAAAAATTGTTAGAATACAGATACGAATTTTTAAAGAAGATTTAAATTTAATTAATATCAGTTAATAAGACTGTTTAAAATTATTTTTCTTTATAATTAATTGATCATAATTTGAAAAAATAACTATATTATAATTTAAGCGAAAATGTATATATCAAAAACACTGTGATTGAGGTAAAAAAGATGGTTGTAAATAAAAATACAGTCTTGAGATAATTATGTACTGTGATCAATGCAACCGCAAACTTGGTGTTAATAAAGGAAAAGAAACATAACGAACGAGATAAAATAGAAGTTAAAATAGAGCAAGGCAAGACGAAGCGTAAAAACTGAAACGAAGGATTAAAGTGTAAAAAGAAACGAGGATAAGTCCAGGAAGGTAGATGAGTACGATTATGAGAGACATATTATGTCAGTTACAAGCAATAAATTAATTTTTGATATTTTTATATAATTGAGTGGGTATTACATAAAATACTATAATACCTACATGTAATGTACAACTTTCAAAATTATTTTTTTAAAGGCATAAATTTTATTTTGATTAAATAAAATACTACTAAACAAATCTTATTTATTAATTTATTTATCTCACTGAATACCTTTGCTTTTAGCTACATTTTTTCAGTATTATATTAAATATCAAAGACCTTGTAATTTCATACAAATTAATTGTTTAAAGAGTTGCTACTGAAGTATACAAGAAATTTTGTACAGAAGTCACTGTAGATAAATATAAATTAAATACATAACAAACTATTGATTCATAATAATTCAAAATTTATATAATACATCAATGATTTAATAAAGGTAATTTTGTAGAATATTTTTTCTTTTCTTTATAATAAAATTATTTTTATATAGAATGATTATATTGTTACATACACCATGTAAAACCAATTTTGTCTGGGATCAGACTAAAAATCTCCCGGTGATGTTAAGTGGAGGTGTTGCTGGCAAGTGCAGGAGGCAAAAGTAATTATTCCATTCTACACACAGTATATCTTGGTTTTTCCTTTATTAAATATAATAATATAATAATAATTAATGGTTATAGACGTGTATGAATGGTGAGTATGAGGGACTTAAATGTATGAAGTTTCTTTAGTAATTTTGCGTGCTGATGAGATTGTGTATTCTCATTAGCACGAAGCGTGAATCTTTCCTTCCATGAGAAGTGTCACGTTGTGATAGTAAGTAACGTGCGTAGCCGCCGTTGCTGTTTCGATGTTATTGTGGGAACCGTAGCTGTTCAGGCGTATGTGATGAGCCCTTGCTCTTATGTAATCAAGAGCATCGATATTGTCGTCATAGTGCAATCGTTGACTAGTCCACTTGCTAGCCAACCGAAAATGGACAATTGTGCAATGGGAATGGACACAGAGTGTTTGATTATGTTGGGTTTGATGATTTGTTCATACATGTCGACTTCAAGTACAATGTCCGCTGTTCGTGGTTTAGCGTATTCTTGATCGGTTAATGATAATCCTTTAATGTGTGGCAATGTGCATTGTGAAAATTCATGACATGGAACTAATATTGATAAAGATTCGATGATATAGGCATGAACTGTAACTGAATCTCTTGAATAAATTGGCTGAAGTGTGAATGTAATAATCCCTAGTATTTGTATCGGTGATGTCCTATCTATTCCATAGATTATGACAGTGGATTTCTGTGGGCTTGCTTGAAGTTTCCTTGCCAATTTTTCAGTGATGAGTGTGATTTCAGAGCCGGTATTCATAAGAAGCCGAGCTTGATACATAGTTGATTGTGCTTTTACGGTAACCACTGCGGTGGCCAGCAGCGTCGTTGTTTGTCTTCTCCTGGGTGAGTTGACATTTTTCCGGTCTAGTCATCTAGTGTCTTAGGATGTAATGTTCCTTTCATCGTGTAATAGTGTGTGATGCCCTTTATGGCAGTTCATGCAGGTTTTCTTGCTGAGGCATGGGCTCGGTAAGTGTTTACCTAAACAGTTTTTACATAGCTGTGGTTTTCTTGCAACGGCTTTTCGTTAGTTAATGGTGATTTTTTTTAATTGATCGCATGTACATATTTTGTAGTTTTCATTACAATACGTACATAAGTTGTGACTTTGGTTCAACTTCAAATACTTTTCCTTGTTATTGGTCTCAGTTGATGATAGAAATTGTTCAGAAAATAATTCCACAATTTGACTCGTCAGCCGAACGTGCAAAAAGCAACTTAGGACAAAAAACCCAATAGATGTTGTGTGGGGTTGCTGGACAAGTAAAGGGTTAATGCACCGATTCAATAATTAACACATATCTTTATTATTGCTGTTTATTTCATTTATTTACTTTAATTCCAAGTGGGAATCATTAACCATGGTGAAATTACAAATGACCTTTATATTTCTTAATAATCTTGTGGTGTTGATATATCTTTTTATTGGAGAACTAGAGGACAAACAATTTTTTATTCTCTACATATCACTGGTGAGATTATGATTTACTGTAAAAAGAAGTAGGCTATAATCTATTGAATATTATCACTTTGAGGTTATGGTTATTGTAGTGCTCTGATCGAATACTACAATATTATTGTGTTTCATCTCAACACGTGTGTAGTTGCCTCTAACTATGGGTCGTATAAGAGCCTAAATAGAGGTTATGCGAAGCTGTACGCCACCTGTGGCGGGAACAACTTATCGTTAGAGAGATTGAAAAGCCACTGTGGTGTCTGTAGCTGGTCTTGTCCTAGAGTATGCCTGGGAGACTTCGGTAGTTGGATCTTAATCCATCAGTTTTCTACTTAAGCCGAGAAATCAAGAATGAGTACTAGCTGTAAGGACTTACTTGCAGCGTATCGTGATTTTCCAGTCTCTCTTCGGTGGCTTGTTATGACGTTTCCTTGTCTCCAAGTGAGATTACAAGTGGCCTGGTCCTATATAATCTAGTCTTGCTGAGATCAATTTCAACTGTATACTAATTCACAATCGTAGAAAGAACTTCTATTAAACTCAGCTAAACGACTTGTCTCTCCGGTCCTCCATGAGAGTAAGTCGTAACTTATCCTTCAATTGTGTGAAGTGTCAGGAAACAATAAGTGAAGGTACATTACGTTGTCCCTTCTTAAATGGTTCACTGGTCCCGTTCCACTTGGGACCCCTTCTTCTTTTATTAATTAACCAATCAGAGGTTGCTCTTGGGCAGCACAATAGATTATGCACGCCTTCATTTCCACTTCCTTCCGGGCTCAGTCCCAATTTGCTAATCGGGAAAGTATCGGAAGGTGGCGAGCCTTTTCCATTGGTCACCTCTCCTTGGTTACTTCATCTTTCTCTGAGACTTGGCTAGACGAAGGGTCTGCTTGGGCGTGGTCAATTTTCCAATGGATCGACCAGATGTGGCATAGCCAAGAACAATGCAAGCATTGTCTTAAAGACCGATTGCGCACGTATGGTCATTGCAGGTTGTTGCACGTGCGGATTTTTGGGTTGCAGTGAATTTAGTAAATGTTTTGTACTCGATGCTTTACGCATATCTGATATTCGTTCTGAATCTACTTTGGGGTTCTTCCGGCAATAAACTCATTAAGTTCTACTGCACTGGGAGCATGAGCACGTTTCGCTAGAGTTTTCCAGATGTTTTATGACACTAGTGCTAAATACTTATGAGCAGGAAAGTTTTGAAGTCTTAAATATAATTTTCAAGATATTACATGCCAGATGTTTTATTGCATTAAAAAGAGTCTCTCATTCACAAACAGACATGTTCTTACGAATCTTTTGTTGGATGTGTGTAGTTGAAAGTGATTTCTTTATTCCCTCAGGTCGGTCGCGTTGTCCAGTGCTGCCATTTGTGCCAACAGGAAGGATTTTAATTCTACAAATTTTGGGTATGAAGTTGAGCACCCCCGTGATCTCTCCCAGTCCGTTTTCATCTGATCGTCAATTTGCATTAATACTATGTGCACTGCTACGGAATCCCACGCTGATCTAGTAACATTTACACAGTCACCACGACGGGCTCACTATTTCTCTCTTAGAACATTCAACCTACAGTCATCACTCACTGTAGCTATACAAGCATTTAATCATCAATTAACAAGCAATCAAATAAACCAATAGTGACGCCATTACTGTTAGAATCCGTTAAAGGTATATTCAAGAAGCGCTAGTACCAAGCCCACTT